GGAGCAATGCCTATGAGTATCAATGAGAAGCCACTGATCGTGCTCCTAGCGACTTCAACATCGAGTCACCTCAGCCTGACGGCAAATCCTGCACAGCACCAATGTATCCTCCAACATCCTGGAGAAGAAGGTTGGATTTGGGGGAGTACGAGGTCTGCTTCAAACACTGTGAGTCTACGGAACATGTGGCCAAAGTTTACGCAGCTAAGATGAAGTGTTACTCATGCAAGAGTGACAAGCACCTGGGAGCCCTGCATCCAGATTCTGAGCAGCTACAACAAGCAACTTCTACTCCTTCTTTGACCAAGGAGCCTCAGTGTGGCTCCAAAGTGCACCCAGAGGCAACCGCGAGTGTCAACTGCACATCAGTATGTAGCTACTCACCATTTCCAAGAGAACTCTCAAGTGAAGAAATGCTTTTCACAATATCAACGTGCACTGTGCCCCAGAGAACGGCGGGGACGAAAATCACCGGACTCCGCATAGAGTCGTTAGATGGGAGTTCACAGTTCCTACTGCCACCATTGCTAGAATGGGATGCCTTACCAGATGATTGCAGTCAAATTCCAACACCAGAGGTAGCATGCACCATACCTCACCTGGTGCACGTGGCGGGTCAACTCCTTGCCCTAGATCCTGAAGCCGAAATCCTGCTTCTGTTGGGAGTAGATGCCCCTGACACCTTTGCCTACCACGGAATGGCCAGAGGCCCAACAGGCCCCCCAATTGCCTTTAAGATAAAACTTGGATGGGTCATCTCTGGAACGGTCTGTGTTGACCGGCTGCAAACTCCAACCCAGGTGAATATCTCAACAACCTCCATTCTTAGTAATGGGAGAGGATCCTACCTGAAACCATGCCAAGAACACTTCACGCTTTTGACAACCAAACACGTTTTGGGAATGACAGTGTTCCAGACCAGCAAAAATCACAATGACTTAGCCTTGTCGATAGAGGACAAAGAATTTCTGCAGCTACGTGTACACTCCCAGAGCACCACAGACTGGGACGAGCCACTTCCACTAGAAAAGAAGCAAGACTGGGAGATGTGGCGTACATCCCTAAGTTGTCTCCAAAGTATCCGCGTGCAACGCATGTTGCACGTCTTCTCACATGCGTCAACGAAGTCGATAGCAGCCGTAGGATACATCAGAATCTACAGCGGGGAGAGCCACATTTGCGTCAGTTTCGCCATGGGAAAGGCGAAACTAGCACCACAACAAGGTCACACCATACCAAGGTTGGAACTCTGCTGTGCCGTATTGGCCATAGAACTCACCAACCTGACAACGAAAACGATAGACCTTGAGCTACAATCCACCACCTTCTACACAAACAGCAAGGTGGTGTTGGGCTAGATCCACAACCAAAGCAGATGCTTCTATGTCTATGTAAGCAACAGAGTAGAAAGGATTAGATGATCAAGTCCTGTGCGAACAGATCAGAACCCTGCAGACCAAGCTACACTGTTCATTCCTACATCACAGTTGGCAGAATCAATCTGGTTAAAGGGTCCTGAATTCTTGGTTCGTCTAGACAGCCAAATGACACAGACACCAGAACATCACGAGCTTCTAGACCCAGATTAAGATGACGAAGTGTGACCTCAGGTACCCAGAAATTGCTCAGATAAGACGACAAAATGACCGTCCAGACCAGGGGTCTGCAACCTTAAACACTCAAAGAGCCACTTGGACCCATTTCCCAGAGAAAAAAATCACTGGGAGCCGCAAAATCTGCGTGCATACATACGCACATACGCGCGCGAGGGGAGAGAGCTTGATTGAAGAGTTTAATTAAAAATAAATATAGGCTGCTGTGCATGAGTTCTCTCATTCTCTCTCTCTCTCTCTCTTCCTCTCTCTCTTTCTCTCCCTCTCTCTCTCTCTTTCCCGCTCCCCCCTCTCTCCCACTCTCAGATCTTCTGCTCACCTGGCAAGCTGGTTTCAAGCTGCTCTCCAACAGGTTGGCTCTCTCCTGCCCTTCCTGCTTCCTGCTTCTGCTTCCTGCAGAGACGCAGCAAAGAGAGGAACCCCACCCAATAAGCTTGTCAGCTCTTCGGAGAATAGGGTGAGGCCACTCTCTTTTTTACACATACACACACTGAGAGAGAGAGAGAGAGAGAGAGAGAGAGAGAGAGAGAGAGAGAGAGAGAGAGAGAGAGAGAGAGAGAAGGGAAGCGC